TCTCACCGCCATTAAAAGCACACAGAAAATGAAATAGATGGTATTTTTGAGACTTGATACCTGTTTTATTTTGATAAACTTGTACCTAGTTTTAAAGTTTCTTCATACTAAAAGTACAACACAGTTTCAAAATGGCACCCTTGTCTCTCACAATATAAACTTTAAAGGAAATTAATATCTAGTTCATTATTTTGCCCTGTTGTTTTAAATAGCATCATGTTTTAGTTACAGAATAATAGAAAAGTGGGCTCACCCTTTATTATGAAGGTGCATTTATGGCTTTTTCAATTCAAAATATAAAAATCAGCAAACATTGTTACTAAAAATATGCTAAATATTTGTTAAGCCTCAAATATATATTAAGAATTACCAAAACATAGGTCTTTGCCCCATTAGCTGTCTATCTAAGTAATAAGGCACAATTTTCCTCAAATATTTCTTTCCTCAAATATTTTTTTCTTGTGTCTTTTGTTACAATATTGCCACATAAATTGAAGATAAAAATTGCCATGTATTATAACCATCATCTGGCATTTTTTTAACTTTCTTAGTGCTTAATTTTAATGTCTAATGCTGCAATTTTAGCTGCTTCTTACTACTATATATAGTAGTATAGTAGAGAAAGTGACTTATCTTTGAGCTGAGGAAGTTTCACAAAGTATCAAATATCACATCAGATTACATATTCAGGGAAATTCCAAGAAAAAGTGATATAAAGATAAGGTAAGAAGACAAGAATGGGCCAGGCACAGTGGCTCACGCCTGTAATCCTAGCACTTTGGGAGTCCGAGGTGGGAGGATTTCAAGGTCAAGAGATCAAGACCATCCTAGCCAGCATGGTGAAACCTCACCTCTACTACAAATACAAAAATTAGCTGGGTGTGGTGGCGCACTGTAGTCTCAGCTACTCGGAAGGCTGAGGTAGGAGAATCGCTTGAACCCAGGAGGCAGAGATTACAGTGAGCCGAGATCCCGCCACTGCACTCCAGCCTGGCAACAGAGCGAGATTCTGTCTCCAAAAGAAAAAAAAAGAAAGAAAGAAAAGAAAAAAAAGAATGGAACTCCATCTTGGTTAAACAGGTTTATCCTCTGATTGAAGTTATGTTTGCAGTTAGAAGACAGGAGGTAAATGAAAACAAGTAGAAGGGAAATTGAGGCAACCTTTGTTTTAATGTATCGCTGTTAAATGTTAACATTTAAATTGATTTGCAAGTGATCCAGAGGGCTGTTTTCAGTGTGCCAGCTTCAGTGAGGTCTGCAGCACATCCACCTGTGACGTTAACTGTCTTCTACTGTGCTTCCCCAGAGAGCGTCATGCATGTCATTCAATTCTTACTCAGTGTGCAGGCACAGAGTCACAAGTCTACGTGTTTAATGTGACTGCATCCCGTCATTCATTTCCAAATGTTTCTTAAGTACAGTTAAACTATTTGCCAATTGTCTCACTGTTTTCCATTGGGCCTTTTTTCCTTGAAGTTCTTCAACAAGTTCGTTTTTCTAGTTTCTAAATGGTATTTGCAATCTCTAGCTAATTTCGTAAGAGGGAAAAACGCTTTTTTATCTCCTCATGTTTCTTCACTAGATGGTATTCCTGGTCCTGGTTAGATTGTAATTTCAAACATAATAAGGCATAATTAAAACATTTTAGTGGTAATAACCAAGGGCCCTTGGCAAATATGGTACAGCCACTAAAAAACGGTTAGGGGTGCTTCAACTCAGTGCTTGCTTCCAAGTTATCAGCTCAACATTTCACAGGAAATGAAGACAGTAAATAAATCTCTAAATTTCATTTCACAGAAATTAGTTTTAATGAGTCAAATAGTAATTCTATTTCATTTATTTTTAGGTTGATTCCTTTAAAAGGTAACGTTTTAGACTCCACGCTGCCTGGGTCAATAGTGTGAGGAACTATCTGTGTGGAGGAGAATAATACTCAATAGATGGTTCGTAGTTATGCTATGTGGTGGTAAATTCATTCTAACCCCATGAAACGTTGGATTCTGTCAAATTTATCAATGTCTTAAGCATCTGGTTTGTGCTAGACACTGTGTGATCCTGTGGACATCAAAATGCAAACCGACCACAGCCACCCAGCTGTGTCTGCTGGGAAGGACTCTCCTCCGTGCGTCTCTCCTGCTCCCATGCCTCTTAATGGGTCAGTTAAATACGCAAGACCCTGGTTTCGCTTTACTCAAGCCTTTTCTAGGGGTTGTGCTTGCAGCAAACCACACTAAAAGGTGAGGTTGCATTCCAGAACAAAGAGCAGGCCTGCTTATTTCCTGCTGCAAAAATGGTGGATTCTCCAAGCCCTTTGTGTCAGCCGAAACACAGCCCACTGCAGATGTGGCATCCAACAGGCCCCGCCCTGTTGCCCCATGCTGCCTGGGGAGCAAGAGGAATAGAGGCAAGTCATGCTGCTTTCTGTGCCATGAGTCTCTGACCGGAAAGGTTTGCATCCTCTGCCAGCATCCACCTAACGGTGACAGGCTAACATTACTTTCTAAGGGAAGGGGAATAAAATCTCAGACCCTGACAGTGTGCTTAGGAAGCTCACAAATCGGTGGGAGTGGAGAACCTACATGCACATAGCCAAATCAAAAGGCCAGTTGTATTTAGTACAGAAATAAATCTAGATACAAAGGACAAAGCATATTATAAAGCTGGCAGTTTATTTCATTGGAGGATAAGATAGATTATTCAGTAAATGGAGTTGGCAGAGCCAAAAAATATACCTGTAGACACCTAAAAGTTAGATGCCTGTCTCCTTTCACTAAAATGTCAGGTGAAGCAAAAAATTAAATATTAAAACATGAAACCATAAAACCTGGTAGAAAAGTAAAGAAATATTGATAAATTTGACTTTCTAAAATAGGATTCTGTAGGGGGAAAACAGTAAAACAAAACAAAAACAGTAAAAACAAAATTAAAAGTACAAGCTGGAAGGAAATTGCAGCCAATATCATAGATGAAGTGCTAATGATGCTTATTTAATACTTGAAAAGAGAGCTATAAAAAAAGAAGAAACTAAAAACATTCTAAAAATGGGTGAATGACCTGAATACAAAGTTCACAATCATGAAAATTAATGCAAGAAAGGCTTACATGTATGAAAGATTGCTTAACCTTTCTTGTAATAAGATGAATGCAATGAAAACCACAGTGTGGTAGAATAGTTCACCTATCAGATTGGCACAGATCAAGAAGTTTGATAACACAGTGTGTTTGCCAGAATGTTGGGAAACGGGTTCCCACCCAAGGCTGCTGGTGGTACAGACTGAACAGCAAGCATCTATGCAATTTGGTTGTATCTATCGATATGACAAATGCCTTATGTTCCCTGACCCACAATTTAATTTCCAGGAATTACTCATGTGGATGGGAAATGATTTCTTTATAAGGGTCTTCATTGCATTATTGTTAGGAATTGAAACTTATACACATGCTTATTATGGTATTGTCTTGTAATGGTGAGCGTTTGAATCCTATGCAACTTTTAACACAAATGAGGCAGCTCTGTTTATACTGACCCAGAATAATATTTGACTGTATAGTGTGAGGTGGGGAAACAAGCTCCAGAACAGTGTGTATGGTATAGTACAACCATTTTTGTTTAAAATTTTTTAAATGTGTGGGTATGTGCACAGCTACCCACTGCAAGTGAACTCACAAATATGACAACGCAAGGAGTCAGCCTGACTTCCTGGGGAAGGGACGGGTTGGGGAGAGGACTCACGTTTCATCGTGTTATTTTTTGGACTTCCCGAATTTTGTAGCACACATATGTATTAAATATTTAACAGTGTAAAAATATTGACTTTCATTTCCAAAGGCTCAGTAGCGCCTGGTGATGATTTGGGAGTCGGGGAGGAAGGGAGGGCCTTCAGTGTACTGCACTGTCACTGGGTGATGACAAGGTCTTCTCCTGAGATGGAGGAGGGAGAGTTAAGAGATTCATTTTGGACATACGAAGTTGGACATAACAGAAATATGAGAGAAGATGTTGGGTAGGCTGCTGGAGAGGCTTGGAATGGAGATGTTAATTTGGGATTCATGGGCATCTAGCTGCATTTAAGTCCCTAGGATTTGCTGAAAGTGACTTGAGAGATGAGATGGAAGGGAGCACCTGGGATCGGACCCAACTACTCTAACTTTTAGAAGTCAGGGACAGAAAGGTAAGCTAGCAGAGAAAACGCAATGAAGGGGCACAGACTAGCCAGCTGAGGAACCACGGGAGCGGACAGAAGAGAGCATTGCAGCAGGGACTGGCCAGCCAGGGGTAACGAGGATGAGTGGTCCAGGCAGGGGACCTGGCGACATGCGAGCCATGTTGATCTAGTGCTTGGTTTCCTGGTATGAGGAAGAGGGGAATGCAGCCTGGAGAAGGCATGACAGATGGGGCAGGATCCATGAGAATGAACTTTCAATAAATGAAGACTTTGCATTATGGATTCAAAGTACTATTTGACAGAATCATTGAAGAACGAGAAGAATCCCAAGGAAAGTCCAGGGGCAAAATAAGCAAAAGAGTCAGAGTGCCCAGGATGCAGCCAGCTTTCAGAAAAGGCTGAGAAAGCATGGGAGTAGTGTTGCAATGGAAAGGACACTTGAGAGAAGACACTGGAAGTGTTTGGGAGGTAAAGGAGTGAAAAAGGACTGGGTGAAAGGAAAACATCAGTTAGGATAACCCCATGGGAGAAAGTGAATAGCTCTCAGGGCTTCCACTGTGGGCAGAAATATGATGAATGGTAGGTTGAGTTTTTTTATTTTGTTTTGTTTTGAGATTGAGTCTTACTCTGTCACCGAGGCTGGAATGCAGTGGCACAATCTTGGCTCACTGCAACCTCTGCCTCCCAGGTTCAAGCAGTTCTCCTGCCTCAACCCCTGAGTAGCTAGGACTACAGGCATGCACCATCATGCCCAGCTAATTTTTATTGTATTTTTAGTAGAGATGGGGTTTCACCATGTTGGCCAAGTTGGTCTCGAACTCCTGATGTCAAGCAGTCCACCTGCCTCAGCCTCCCAAAGTGCTGGGATTGCAGGCGTGAGCCACTGCACCTGGCCAGTAGGTTGAGTTTTAATGATGTCTGTGAAGATGCAAGTTCAGCTGTGACCTGGAAGTGTGGCCTGGCACCTGAGAGGAGCACTGCAGACCGCCTGTTCTGTGTTGCTTGCATTGGCATCCATGGTGAGTGCAGCAATAGCTGTCATCAGTGAGCAGAGAGGCTCCAACCAGGGGCCCTGTGGTGACTACAGGGAGAGGGTAGGTGTGCCCAGGGTTCTTCTGCTTGAGTCAAAGTCCCTGGGAGCCCAGGTAGGAAACCCTAGGGGATTCCATCATGTCTGGGTGGTGGGTGTCCATCATTCCTCTTAATCTCATGGTTTTCTTGCAAAGTGGAGAAGCCCCATTACTGGGCTTTTCCCCATATTGAATGTCATCTTGCAACATCTCTTCAGCTTTGCATTTTTGGAATATGGATCAGAATCTTTCCTTTCCTTGACTCCCTTTCTAACAGCTTGTTAGAATGCATTCATGTAGCAACTAGAAATGAATGCGACACATTTACATTTAACACCTCCCTCCCAATGACTTCAGCTCAAACCTTTCCAGAGATTTCTCCATTAGAGGACTGTAGATGCCACCAGATGTGTGAGACCAAATGTTGGCATCATCTTGGAACAGAGACGGACACTGGGGTCTGGCCTTTCCTCTGGTCCTCAGTCCTGCAGGCTGTCCTTTCTCCACTGCACCTCCTCAAGGGGCATTCCTGGTAGCCTCTGGAACCTGCCCTGATGTGTTTTGATTCACTCTCTATGCTTGATAGGCTTTCTCAAAGAACCTGCTGCATCATAAGTGCTCAACATACTCTTTTCAGGATTGTTCTTCTATGTTTTAGATTACACTTTTATATATATATATTTCTGATTAAGTACTTTTTGTAGGGCTACTGATAAGTTCACATAAATTAACACATTAAAGACCTTTGAAAGCTCCTGCCTGGCACAGTAGACACAGCCAGTACATATTGGCTATGATCATTTGTGTTCTGTACCAGATTGGTTTACAGGCCACAAAGATGGGGCCCTACGGATCCTCTCTGTTCAGGCAGTGAAGAGCTGGTATCTGAGGATGAAAGAAGCTTCTGTTGTAACGACGTGGAAATTCCAGAGGGTGTGATGGAATGAATGACGTGGAAGAGAGAAGAGCAAAGCATGTTGGGTGCAGGAAGGTGGAAAAGGGAGTATAAGAAGGGGGAAGAGGGAACCCAGTTGGCCTTCAGGTTTCTGAAAGTACCAATCATAGAGTCTCTAGATGAAGAGAGTTGGCCAAGGCAAGGAAACCTGAGCCCTTTGTGAAGGAGTCAGAGGAGGTTTATGACTGAAAAATGACAAGTTATACCATATTATGTATTCTGAACAAATATGTGTAAATACATGATTTAGATAAATTAGGTATTTATTAAATATTTCAAGATTTGGTTCTGGAAGAGTACAATTTCTCTTGACCATTGCTAGAGGGGAAAAAACAGGTAAAGCCAATTAAAGAAAGCTGAAGGTTTTTAGAGGAAAAAGAAAATCTAGTTTTGCAGCAAAGAGGATTAATCTGTAAAATCTCATCTTATAGATGTGCTACTGATCTAGAATTTGTTTCTTCTAATTCTTCACTTCCCAACACTATCAAGATAAAGTGTGTAATCTTTAGAGCTAGAGAAGTCTGTTTGCATCTGTGGGGTTAAGGCGGAGAGAGAGGTGAGAGGTGATTCCAGCTATACTTGGTCACTTGAATAAAACCACCTATTCCCATGGCTCTCTGTTTAGGGAGTAGAAAACCCTCATTTCAATGAAATCAGTGTGTTTTCATATTTGGAAGTCTACCTTCCAAGAGCTAATGACATATAATGGAAATGAATTATCCCTTGCTACCTAAACGGTTGCTTCCTAAACTCATGTTTAACTATGTAAGGATATTTGTATTAATTTAGGAAGTTTATATCTAAGCAGGTATTAGATGAATGAAACAAATGAAGCAGGTATTAGATTAAATGAAACAAGAGCATCTTGGCAAAAAAAGAAAATGTTTTCAATTTGCGTTTTGTTGTTTGGAGGCCTATTTAATTCAGTGCAATCTTATTTATTCAGTCATATATATTAAACATAAATGTATTAAAAATCTACCACTAGAAAGTACTAATTGTCACTGAATGGCATATTTTAAAATGAATCATTTCATGTTATGAAAATGTTACCTAAAAAATATAATAGAACTGCCATGATTAAGACATTATGTCTACGCAGAGAGGGGTAAAGTAACAATACCATAACTACTGTCCTTTTATAAATAAATAAATAAAAACATAATATTTATTCCAAAAAGTTCTTATTTCAAAAGATGAAACAGAAAGAAAGTAGAAGAAAGTAGTAGAGAAAATGGAAAAAAGGACGAGAAGCGATAGACATGCAAAACTCCAACATCCCAAAGTTAAAGGAAGGAGAATAACCATGTTGTGCCTATAACCCTAGAAGATGACAAAAATTATTTCCAGCAAATTGACAACCCTTCTTTCTGAAGGTAGTTTTGGGCAAAAAGGTGCTGTTTTGAGCTTTTACCCCGAATCACCTGGGGTGCACTTGAAAAGAAGGCATTTTGCCAATGCATTAAAAGTGTCTGAGTGAAAGCTGCCACTTGGCTGTCCTAAGAGGCTTTTAACCCCAGCCACATAATTATTTCATAACAAACAACCAGGAACATTTCTCTTCCCCATCAGTTTCCCAGACTACCTCATAGCACATGCATGATACAATGTGTGATTTTGCAGCCTTCCATGTAACATCAGTGTCCTAAAGAGATGGACTTGAAGAGACTCATGGTGATTTTAGTTGCATTTTGAAATGCCACACATATTCTATAATATTAAATTAATGCTTGTTTATTGTAGGACATTAATTACATTTTAGATTCCACAAAAGTAAATAGAAGACAATTAAAATTAGTTATAATTGCATCTCCCAGAGACAGCCATTGCTAGTACTTTAAAACATTTTGGTCATTTTTTAATATACATATATATTAATATTATTTTGCAGAATGGAAACTGTACTGTATGTGCAGATATTAATCTGCTCTTAAAATGCAAGATGTCATCAGTCTCTTAAAACATGATTTTTAATGGCTGCATACCATTCCTCCACACCATTGTACCATGATTCATTTATCCACCATCTTAATACTTGCTTGCTTCATTTTTGGTGTTTCTAATTTCTTGCAAATAAAAATTTAACTGCCCTTGCTAATGATTATTTGGGAGGTGATTCTTACCTTGATAAGTAGGTCACCATCTATCCAATTGTGCAGCTGGAAACCTGGAAATCATTCTTGCAATAGTTTTCACCTCCAATCCCAATCCATTGCCAAATTCTGTCAATTTTCTATTCTTAGTATCTATTAAGCTTATTCACTTCTTTCCACCCCTCATAAATATTTTTGCCCTAATATTTTTTAATTCCTTATTGGTTCAGCAATATACTAGGTACTTATTATCTTTTATTTTTCACACCTACCCTATTGTTACTCTCCTTCCAATTTTTCTCTCAAATTTTTGATGAAATTCAGTTTATTTACCTTAAGAAATTTATTTTTTACTTTTTGGATTTTATATTGTGCAACATAGTACACACATTCAAAAAGATATTTAACATATATGTAAATTATAAATAATAATACTTTAAAATAGGCATAGTCAAGCCTAAAAAGTAGAACATTATCAATATTTTGAGGTCCACTGATTAGCCTTATCACGATCTGAAATTTTGTGATTATCCTTTGACTGTCTTCATGATTTTACCAGATATGTATATAAACATTTTGCATTGTACTTTAAGTTTAAGCATTATAGAAATATTATCATCCTGTTAATATTCTTCTGCAACTTGCTCAACATTATGGGTTTTATATTGAGATACAACTTAGGTACCATAAAAATGTACAGCTTAGTATTTTTTAGTATAATCACAAGGCTATGAAATTGTCATCACAATCCAAGTCTGGAACATCTCCATCGCCCCAAAAGAAACCTCAAGAAACTTTGTACCCACAGCAGTCACTTTTGTGTTCCCCTGCCTTCACCTCTGGTGGTCACAAGTCCTCTTTCTGTCCCTGTTCATTGTTATGTTTTTGAGAGAAATGTATTACGATGTCTGAAGTCATAGTTTATCTTTTTCGGTTATAATAAATATATAACTGTTTTTCACTTCTGCCAATAGAAATTTAGGTTATTTGTAGTTGTTTTTTTAAAATTTCTATTTGAACATTATTTGTTTTTTTAAAAAGTATGTTTCACAGTTACATACCTTTTAACAATTAAAGTGCCTTTTAACATTTACGCATACATATATATTCTTAGGCGCACTGTTTTGGACAGAGGAACAGAATTGCCAGTGTTAATTCTGCCCACCTTTAATTTTAATGCATAATAAAAATCATTTTCTAAAGTGAGTGTACAAATTGAAAATTCCACCAACAGGGTATCATTGTCTTTCATAATTTTTCCCATTGGATTGTAGGCATTGTTTATATATGCCATGTGTTAATCTTTTATAAAAATCGATTTGTCAAATTTATTACTGGCTTTTTGTTTACTTATGTTTTCTTTTGAATGAACATCAATTTTAAATTTTAACTGAATGAAATTTATCAAGTTTCCCTTTTGAGTTTTGTTTTTCATTTTGTTTTAATTTTTTTCTCTATCGCCAAATTTTCATATATTTACTCCTGTATTTCCTTTCTCTCTCTTTTTTTAGCTTTAATTCACCTGCATTATATGATTGTGCATAGTGTCTGATAGTGGCTCAGTTTCAGTTTTTTTTTTAATTGTTTCCGAAGCGTGTTTTAAATATTTGACTTTTTCCCAGTGGTCTGAATAGCGCTTCTCGGATATAGCAAGTATCTAGGTTTGCATGAGTCAGCCTCTGTGCCCTCTGTTCTTTTCCCCTGATGTTCCTTTTGCTTCTTCTTATGCCAATACCTCACTGTCTTAATTACTATATTTTATTAACAAATCTCAGTTTCTGGTAGACCATTTCCTTCACCTAGTTCCTCACTTTCCTTCAGGAATGTCTTGGATATTTGTAACTCTTTTCCTTATGATTTAGCATCAGTTTGACAAGTTTAATAAACCTTGTTAGGACTGAGATAATATTAGAAAGATTGGACATCTTTAAGGTATTGAGTTCTTCTAGCTAGGAATGTGGCACATTTCCCTATTTCTTTAGTGAATTGTAAACTGTCTTTTTATAAAGTTTTATAATGTTCCCCATAAAGATCTTTAAAATATTTTGCTAGATAAATCTAACACCTTATATATTTTGTTACTCTTGTAAAAGGTACCCATTTTTTAAAACTACATTTTCTCTTTGTTGCTTGGGTATAGAAATAAAATCAAATTTTAATTTATCTTATCTCTGATAATTTTGTTAAACCCTCATATTAATTTTAATGCTTTAAAGATGTTTGGAAGGAAATATTTTATAAATATAATACACAAATAATACCATTTTGTGTGTTGCTTACAGATTTTCTCATCTTATTGAACTGGCTAGAGCCCTCAACGTATGGTGTAAAAGCAACCTTGTCTTAATCCTTTTTGAAAGGAAATGTTCCAGATTCTACCATTTGGTACCATGTTTGCTCTAAGATTTTGGTAGGTTCAATTTTTTTCAGTTTAAAGAAGTTATCCTCTAGTCCATTATGCCAAGGATTTTAAGCTGAATGAATATAAAAATTAATCAAATATGTTTTGGTGCCTCCTGAGGTGATCTTAGGCCTTTCTAGTTTGATTTCTAAGTATGGCTAACTACATTAATTGATTTTTCAATGTTAAACAAAAATGTACATTTCTGGAATAGATTTAACTTGGTCATTCTTTAACTTTGGGTTCCCCTAAAAAATGACCTGGAGAGAAGGGCTCAGCGTCTGATCGTTCCAGCATCTGGCTGTGGAGCTGTGTGACTGAGTCATCATCTGTTGCTTTGTTTGCTGACTTCCAACCTTTGTGCCTAGATGATATTGAAGTCACCATCTCTCCCTTTGAAGGGCAGGGACTTGTGTATGTGTTTGTCCTTTCACTCAGCATGGCTCTTGGAGTTTCTGGCTGCATGAGAAGGTCTAGGGAGACTCTCCCCTTCCAAGAGCCCTCCACGTTGTCTTCTGCCTTTTAGGGCTACTGAAACCACAGCACAAGGTGTGGGGACGTTACCAGGTTCCCCCAGAGCCATCATTCCTTGCACCGGCTTTCCACGACGTGCCTGCCCCCTTTTGTTTCATCCCCTGGGACTTCTCCTACGTTCTTGCAAGGTCATTATGAACTTGAAAGGATGCGGATTTTTATTTTATTTTATACTATAGAGGTATTTTATAGCAGAGATTTTTTCAGGGTATCAAGACTAGAAGTTTTGCCCGAGAGGGAAAACCAGAGGCTTTCAATATTTTTTGAACTCGATCTAAAAACCTTTTTTTATGTTCATTCTTTGTTTTTGTACTAGAAAGAACATGTAACTATTTTATATATAGTCTTTAAATGACATTTTATGTGAATACAGTGTCACAGCAATAGATAGCAATACCAAATAAAATACATTCCAAAGAAGCTGCTTAAAAATTTGAAGACATTGAACCCTAAAAGGATGACTTATTTCCTCAATAAATCATGTAGAAAGGGAAACTTGTTTGCAGTACGAATTATATTTTGTAGTATGGGTAAACAAAGGAGAGAAGAGAAATCCTCCTTTCCTTAACTAGCAGATTCCTGTAATGTGACAGCCTGGGAGAGACGACAAAGAACGTAGTTTTGAGAGGCACCTTTTGCCATTTACTTCTGGCTGGTCAGGACTGCCACCTAAAGCCACACACAACTTCAGAAGCACCACCCACAAATACAACACTCTGAACAGGGCCCCCTGACTGTGTACAGTGTGGCTGCCCTGATCCTGTGGCAGATAACATTCCTGAACATTGAGTTACTCACCTGTGACATCAGAATCAAAGTAAAGTTCATGCAAAGAATAAAAAGGATAATATGCATGAAATCACGATATAAATGTTATTATCCCCACCATGCTCATCTTTGAAAGAACCTATTCAATTGCTACAAATTCTGCTTGATTTTTGCCACTCATTTAACTTCTTAAAAACTTTACCTTACAGAATAAAGCCATAAAAACATCTCGGTTGAAGCAAAGGGAAGCAGCAAAGAAACTGACTCCTCCCAGTTGCCCACCATACACTCCCTTTTCATCTCAACAGTGAGTTAGGTAACATGATTCCTTTTCTTTTTCTCTTTCTTTGAAACATAGAACATGTCCATTAGCTCAGCACAATATGAAGTTAAAGATAGGATCACAGGGATGGTAACTGCCCTTCCTATTGCTTTACATTCTCCTATCTGCCAAAGAAGAATGCCTAGCCCCTCGCGGTGTCTGGTTCAATATACAAACACATACATTTGTCTCTAAGGGGTTATGAGTTGGTATTTCCAGCTTTTCTCTCCCCTAGTCTGTGCCCCTTCTCCACATCTATCTTTCTTACTCAACTTGACGAGCCCACAGACACCTTCACTCCCTGTGAAGCCATGAGAAATGTCCTTATTTCAATTGCAGGTGGACAACCATCTCCCACTGTCTCCTGGTACCATCTCTAATCTTACAGCCTCACTGGAGTTATCCAAGGTCCTGAAGACACCCCAGTGACACTCCCCAGTCTCACAGTTTGAAGGTTGCAGTTCAGGGATCAGACTGTCTCTCCAGGCAACAAACATCTGCACCAGCTGGACTGCTGCTACTGCGCGGGGTGGGGTGTGATGGACAGTGGGGTCCTGTACTACGGGCCTGTCGTCCTGGGTCTGTTCTGCCCAGTGGACCTGTCCAGGCTGCTGCAGGAGTGGTGATGCTCATGCCACCTGGCCACTTGACCTTGCTCTGCATAACCTAATGACCACCATCGTTTAATGGTTGCATCACATTCCATCACACGGTCAATAGTCGTTTTTCTCTACTTTTTTATTGTTAGGTATTGCCTTTTTTTTTTTCTTATTTCTTTCAATGATAAATGCTGGTTTGATGAATGTGGTATACATTTATTTTGTTTGTGTTTTGCATTATTCCTGGGAAGAACAGATTTCTCAGTGTAGAAATACTGATTCAGAAGCTCTGCATGTTTTTAAGCTTCATATGCGTAATGCTGAGTTGCTTTCTGCAGAAGTTAGCCCAACAGCATATAACCATGCCTCTTTTTTCCCATTCTCTTCAGCGCTGTTTTAATAGCGTTAAATATTTGTACCTTGTAATAGTGCAAAATTATGTCCCTATGTTTCAGTCCTCTCTCCTTTGATTACTAGAAATGTTGAAGTGTTTTCATTATTAAGCACAGGTGTAAATCCATTTCTACAGTTTTGCTAACTTTTCTTGGGTTGGTAATATCTTTATCACCAATGTATTTGAACTTAGATTATAGGAAGTTTATTAAACCTTTGTGATGTATTTGTTATAAATATTTTTCTGAATTATTAGATAAGTTATAATTTGGTTAATTATGTGTGTTGGCCCACATAAGTTCAAAGTTGCTATGTACTCAAAATTTTTCCATTGTGATTTACTTAATACATTTTCACACTTAGACATTTCTTCCTTGTCCGCTGTTGCTTATGCTTTCTTAGAATTTATTATGTCCTTATGTATTTAATGCTTTTATTTTAGTAAATGGTGAAAATAAAAATCAAAACCCTTCTTCCCAAGGTTGTGTATTTAATGACCTATCATTTCCCTGTTGATCTTTATTATTTTTTTCAATTATAAATAATATTTTGGCAAACTTTGTTATTCATAAAGTTGTCATGATTTGAATTCTTCTGTAGGCATTAGTAATACCCAGCGTAAGTGGGTACTTATTTCTACCAAAGAATATGTACAAAAATATTCCTGGCACTATTTCAATAGTAGCAAGGACTGGAAACAAGCTAAATAGCCATTAAAAATAGAACAGACAATAAATTAGAATATATTCACAAAGTGAAACACTATACAGCGCAAGCTGGGGCCCCTGAAATCTGGGCTCTCTGACTCCATTTCTTACCCACATCTGTGACTCTGCTGCACCCTCTCCCAGCCTCCAACAGTGGCCCAGGATGCTTGAGCTCTATTGCTTCTTAACCACCAGCTGAACAGAGAGGGAGAGAATCAGAAAATATTACCCCAGTACCTCAGTCAGAAGGTCTGGAGCTGACTCGCTGTCTCTGACCAGCTGACAGAGGTCCTGTGCTTGTTCGATGAGTCTAGGACACAAGCCATCCCTGGTGCTGGGGTGGATTCATCCTCTCCAGGCCATTTTGAGTCTTTGTCACCTGACTTAGCAATGAATTATAGGATGCTTTTCAAATTGTGGTGTCAGAGCCATTCCCTCGAAGCAAAAGTCAGTGTCCTCACAAGGTGGGAATGGGTGCTGGCGTCCTGAAAACAGTGGTTTTCCCCTCTATTAAATCACCCTGGCCAGCAGCTTGTCCTCTGTGTGTCTCAATTTTCTCATCACCCAAATGCCGAGTACATTATAGGGTTGGTTATTGATTGTAATTTCTTTAAAAATGAGTTGCTGGCCAGGCACAGTGGCTCACACGTGAAATCCCAGCACTTTGGGAGGCCAAGGCGGGTGGATCACCTAAGGTCAGGAGTTCAAAACCAGCCTGACCAACATGGTGAAACCCCATCTCTACTAAAAATACACACCAAAAAAAATTTAGCCAGACTTGGTGGCACATGCCTGTCGTCCCAGCTACTAGGGAGGCTGAGGCGGGAGAATTGCTTGAACCTGGGAGGCGGAGGTTGCAGTGAGCCCAGATCGCACCATTGTGTATAAGCATATTGAGTTCACCGCCAGACCTTTCAGCATGTGGTCAATGTGTCTCTTTTTTTTTTTTTTTTTTGTGTGTGTGTGTAGGCCAGTTTAAGTTGGATTGTCTGCCACCTGAGCAAGAGAAATCCCACCTGCCAAGCCTCCCTGCAGATGGTGGTACAGCCTCCACAGCCTGGTCTTCAGATTGTAACTCTGGCCCCTGCTCTGAGCTGGAACTCTCTAGGTGATTTTTAAAGCCTTGTTTAGTTTTAATATTCTCGATTATCTATGTAGTAAAACAGATTAATTTGTCTTTTACAGAAATGAAAGTGCTTAATGGAGTAAGGCACATTGTAAGTGCCCGATAAATTTTGGTTATGGGTTAGATGCAAAGTGTCTGGACAAGGAGCAAATTGTCTGGTTCCACAGGCACTGGCACTGTCCTCTCCTGCCCTCCTCTGTCATATCTGTCCTCCTCTTATGGGGCTAGGGGGTACTTTGGGCCTGTTCCAGATAGACTCCCCTGTAAACTCTGAAGTCGCTTTGAGTCCTGGTCACCAAGCTATGCATTCAATTATACAGTGTCTTTTATTGTGGACATCTGATTCACCTCTGTTTTAGTGTAGTGGATAGGGGCCCAGACTTCCTAGGTGATCTGCCAGGGTTCACATCCCAGCACCACCACTGTTAGCTGTGTGTCCTCAGGAAAGTTACTTAAACTCTCGTGCCTCAGTTTCCTCATTTGTAAAATGAAGATAAGGACAATTCCTATCTCATGGAGAGGTTCAAATAGATTTAAATTATTGAGGATCACATAAGTTAATTTTTTGAAGCGTGCTTACAATGTCTGGCATATATGGTGTATGAGGTGTGAACAGTCACTATTTTATCCGGGTAACCACAGGGAAGAACTCAGGGGATTCAGAGTCAAATAAACCTGAGTTAGAATCCTGGCTCCAACCCACCTGTTGAGTGGTTCTGACAAAAACCATATGGTCCACGAACCCCAACATATTGACTCTCTGACCTTTTGCAGACCAAATTTGCAACTCCTGCAAGAGCCCAGGTGGAGCTCCTGACACGGTGCAGAGAAGCGGGCTGGCACAGTGTGTGAGGAGTCCCCTCCCCAGCCTCCCAAAGACACCGTCTACTGTCTCTGAGGGCCAGGGCCACAGCCTCTGCATCTCCTGAGCTCCAAAAGTTCCTGTGGTTCAGAGTTCATTATGCTCTGGTGACGATCTGCTTCTAAGCGCAAGACTGAGACTGCATAGCCAGGGATGGTTCTAGAGGGATTTCCATGGACCCCAGGAGTCTGGCACGGACAGGTGTGGGCCAACACCTGCCTTACCCCTCAGTTGGCATCCACGATGGCCTTGGCACCTCATTAGGAAAGTCAAGGCATCCTGAGACCATCCTGGCTGTCCGTTCCCCTGAAGGGAGCACTCTTTCTGCTGCAGGCAGCACCCAGTTATCTGAAACACCAACAAACTCAAGGCACAGAAGCCCATTTCTGGCTTTGAGATATGCTTGGGGGACCACTTTCTTGATTCCAAAGTATATTCCGTGGTCTGAAGAAGAAGAAAAATAGAATCAATTGCTCTTGTCCTTTTGATAGAAGCATTTAAATGTGAGGTCCTGACTGTGGCATGAGAGAAAGTTGGATGCCCTGTCCCGCAAACGGTTGTGTTTGATGATTCTACACCCCACTCTGTCTCCTCCTGACAACCACAGCCATCTGAGCACCTGGGGCTCATGTAAGAACAGGAGAAGTGCAAGGCTTATTCATTTAAATGCTCTTCGAGGATATGCCCTATGTAAATAAGAAATGAGTGTGCAATGAATTAAGACAGTATACAATCAATTGCAAAACCACGAGTCGTGAAAAATAAATTATGAATATGCAAAGGAAAACAGTTCACCCGGAAATAAGACTTGAGTTGTGCCTTCTTGAAATTCGTGTCTGCTGTTTTGGAAACATCAGTGTGGACCACAAGGGAAGGAGTTTACTTAAGCCCATCTCTCAAAAAGCAGCAGGGATGAGTTGCTCTGGCTGCTGGCTCCGTAGCTTACACAGTCACCAGTGGTGGAAAGAACACACTTCCTTTTCAAAGGACCAAGGTCAAAATCGCATCTCTACTATTTCTTGGGCATGTGACTCTGGAAAAGTTTTAAAATCTCTCTGGGCTTTGTTCTTCTTGTCTTTACATATGTCATGGTAATGTCTACCTAACAAGACTGTTTTAAACATTGGGATGCTTTATGTGGAGAGGCCGGCACAGAACTTGACACTTGATAAGCACTCTGTAAGTGGTAGCTGTCATATTTCGCATGTTCATCCAACAGACATCTATGGGGCATCTGCTGTGCACAGGCACAGTGTGGGTGCCCAGTACCGCAGAGAGCAGACAAATGTGGTCCCTGACTTGACAAGGTTTCAGTCAGAGGTCCTGGAGAAGTGGCTGTGTGATTACACGTCTACTTTAGGAGTGGGGTATGGAAAGCCATGGGAGACCATCAGAGAAGCCCTTCCCTGGGGCTTAGGATTTAGAATATGCTTCCTAGGGGAAGCTCTATCTATACTGAGATCAGGCCACAGATACGTAGGAGCCTGGAATTGCCCTAAGAGAGGGAAATAAGGAATTGCCACCTGGACAGAAGGAACAGGCTGTGCAGAGGCTGGACACCTGGGAGTGCACAGTGTATGTGTGGAGTGATGTGGTGCACACAGGCATGCAGCAGCTCCAGAACATTTGCAGCTGCTAATCAGGAAATCTGGCCCAAAACTCACTCCTGTCGTGTTCCCATTGTTAGCTAAGCAAAGAGAGTGGCAGCAAGCCTCCTGTGTGCAGCACTTTGTGCCCTGTCCTGGAGGAGGGAGGAGTGTGAGAGCAACCCCTGGCCTCTGCCCTCAGCCATCTTACAGTCGAATCGGACATAGACATAAGAGTCTGCGCAATCATGGTTTTATGATGTACGGAGGACCCAGAGCATTAGGTTCTTGCTTAGTGCCTTTCCCTGCTGTCCTCTGTGGAGAAGCTCTGAGTGAGGATGTTTACCAGGAAGGACAGGAGGAGGCAGTTCTGGACAGCCCGAGGCTACCATTAGCCCTAAGCTCTCGAAGACACTGAGTTTGGCTCCAGGCAAGCTTGGGTTTTAGAGAATGATCCATCCTCTTTGGAGGCAGGATGGTAACCAGACCACAGAAGATCCAGAACCAGACCACAGAAGATCCAGAACCAGACCACAGAAGATCCTGCCTCACAGACGCCCCGGTCCACAGATGTGGCTTGTCGTTTGCATGTTTCCAAAGCACCTGACAGATGTCCCCTGCGGAAAGCCACTGGATGTCTGGTCTGACTGTGCCTGTGGGTTCCAGCAGCCCCTCCCTCCATCCATACCCTGCTTCCAGCATTTGGCTCGGTCTGTTGCTACCCAGTATGACTGGGCTAAGAGGGTTCCTGGAAATGCCTGGCTTCACATTTATTTTAAAAATTGACTCAAGTATAAATATTTTTAAGCTATTGTTCTTTGTCTGAGGTCTTTGGAACAGGTACTCTATCTTGCACAGGCAATTTGGTAGAATGGAAGAAAAATGATTATGAGATTCTGCTATAATCCAAAAGGAGGATTGGCCTGAGAGAAGATGAGAAGTGTCAACAGGCAAAAGATTGAGCTGAGTATGGAAAAGAGAGAACTCCAATTCCCTTGCAATGAGACCACATTGATAAAAATGAAGGGATTCCATCACTCTTAAAGGTCTATAGCCCGATTTGTTAACTCCCTCGAGTCCTCCCTGTCCAAGCAGGACTGGCATCACTGCCCTCTGAAGCTGTTGAAGAACCCTCCCCTGTTGGACACAGAATGGCAGGTGGCTGCTGCCAGCATTCCTTCCCAGCCTTGC